CCTTAATATGTCTATAACAAACTAGCAAATAATCAAGTCCAAATTCTATACCAAACTCCATAACAAAAATCAGCAAGAAACTATGCAGTTTTTGGCATTTTATTATCCAACTAAAGGAGAAAAACGAAATCAAATTGAAAATTAAACGAAACTAAAATCCAAATGTTCACAAATATCATAGACATGATAAGGATCATCCCAGAATTTTCTCATATTTTTCTAAGCATTTTTTCTATTTTTTAGGAATTAAAATCAAACAGCACACAAAACCGAATTTTAATGCAACAATCAAATGGTTAAATTAAATCGGAAAACCAACCTACGGATCAGAGATTTGATCTGGTGATCGTTGATCAAGTGAATTTGCAAAGATCCAAACAAGATTATATGGAGAACTTCAAGATCCACAATAATTCTTGCAAGAAGATGAAGATCGAACACTTCGAATCCGAATTGCTCCGAATAAGTGCTTCCAACTTACGCTCCAATATCCAATTTCAATTTGCACGAAAATTAATTATGACACTTGATCCGATAATGATGATGAGTGGAGGTTTATGCTCAAGATTTCCTTGATTTCAATGAAAAATCAATGGATCCAATGATGAGGAGCTATGGGTGAGGGTTTGGAGAATGAAGAAATTGAGAGAATTGAGAGAGTGAGATAATTCTTGAAAATGAAAAATGAAAATTGTGAGGATTTTTCTTTTTGGTTTGGAGTAGATCACTTAAGTACTCTTTAGGCTTGGATCCCAAGGTAAGGTTTGGACTTTGCCTTGTGAAAATTGGTTTGGAGCTTAATGGTATGATTTTGGGTATGTAACCTCCTTTTGAAGCAATTCATAAAATGACCATTAAATATGACTCAAATTGAAATTCTAACAACGCCATTGTGTTTAAAATGTCATTTGCAATCAAAATATGTACCAATTTGCCATTGTTTGAACCATTGTGAATTATTTTGGATTAAAAGGAGGCCTTGCTTGTGCATTATGAATGATTTGGGGAATGTAACTTATTTGTGAAGAAACATGTCAAAACACCATGAATCATGAGTCAATTGAAAATTCTAGAATTGCCAATGTTTCTAAATCATCTTTTCTAATCAAATTGAGTGGTCATTTGGCATATTCTGTGCACATAACAATTTATTTGAATTTCCCACCAAATAATGCCTTTAATTTCTCTTCTTTCAAACCACTTCAAGTCAACTCTTACTATGGACCAAATAAATTTATCATGAGCTCTTGGTTGACCTAAAAACCATATTTTGAGCAAGTTCCATGTTGGTCAAATCTCCATTTGAAGAGTGCAAGTTGGAGATTTTGACCTATGATCACAAATGACCTATAATCACCAATACCCAAAATACCCCTGGCTTGCAAAGATCATAACTTGAGTTCTACAAATCCTATCAAGGACTTCTAGTACTCTATGGAAAGCTAAGATCAAGATCTACAACTCTAATGTTGGCCAAGAATCCATTTGAAAACCCCTTGAAGGGAAAAAGTTGCTTAGAAGTCAAGCGACTTTCACAAATAAATTTCATAGTCCTCTAGTGACCTGTAACTTGCAAGAACCATAACTTGAGTTCTACAAATCTTCTTGATGACTTCTAGTACTCAAATTAAAGGTATTGATATGCCCTACAAGTTTCATGTTGGCCAAAGATCCATTTGAAACTTGTATTTTGACTTGTGTGGCTTTGAAGTTAGGCACTAAACAGGGGATTTTACACTGAAACCCTAATTTAGCAACTTCCCACATCCTTGATTCTTCTTTGCTCAACCTTGGCACAACACCACACATGTATCAACATACCAATCCATGAATCCCATGACCTCAAAGTAGGCTTTGATGCTCTTCAATTACTCAATTAACCTAGGATTGACCCAGATGAAACCCTAGTTGACTGCACCTCAACTGTGGCTCTCATACTTGAATCAATGACTTAATTAAGCTTCAATAGGGCCCTCTAGGCATTCCATGAGATCCATACACACCTCAAATTCACATCCCCTATTTTACATCCCACTGATGATTCTCAATATTCCTCAAGATAGGAGCAAAACCCACATGTAGGCACTCAAACTTCGCAAGACTTCAAATCACTTCTTGATGGCTTGGATGACTTCTCATACTTGGATAAGACCTCTTGCTAGGCTTCTTCTGATAAGAATCACACTTGATCCCCTGTTGGATGAGTGATATGCTATGATATGCAAATGATTAGAACTATGTGAATGATGTAACCATGCAAATGAAATGCAATGAAACATAAATCAGGCAAGAAAAGGTTGAGCAAATTTTGGGGTGCAACACTCGCTTAGCAAATTGCTAGCGAACACTCGCTAGTCTGCGATGTTCAAAACCCTCGCTGTCCAAATTCATTAGAAGCTCCCAAAATCACCCGATTCAATTCCAACAAGTTCCAGTAGTCTTAGCCTAACATTCCTCGACTAAACTACACCATTTATTTCAGATTTTAACCGTTAAAACATCGATTCTACCAATTAAATTCATTTATGCCCTAGAATGGAAAATGGTGAAAACATCCAAACAATCCAAACCAATCATACATAATCATATACATTGACAATATAATGATATTTCACACCCTTACCTTGATTAAATCGAAAGCTAGGAGTTGTTCTTGATGATTCTAAGCTTTTTCCCTTTCTTCCTTCTCTTTTCTCCTCTTCTCCTTTCTTTCTCTTCTCCTTCTCTTATATTTCTATCTTTTCCTTTTCTTTCCACTTTTCTTTATATTCTTTCCATTCTATTTCCTTCCATTATATTCTCCTCTCAAATATCTACCAATAATTCCAATAATTAAAACCATCCAAATAAATCAATTAATTAATATAAATAATTAATTATTGAAAATTAGGCTGTTACAGGGGGGGGGGGGGGGTGGAGGTTTGAAAAGTGATAGTTTTAAACAAAATTATTTTCTTAATCATAGTTTGAACATATTTACAAAAATACTTTTGAATAAACAACTAAAGGTATTTTTTTTTTGCGGAAAGTGAAAAGTTAAAGAAAGAGAGAAAACACCACATATTTATAGAGGCTCGACCTTAATGGAGTGACTTACTTCTCTCCTCAATAATTGATTTTGAGAGTATCCAATAATGCTTGAGAGCTTTTAGAAGGTTAAACCCTTGAACTCTGTTACACAAGAAAAATGAAGTTTTAGATTTATTTTCAACAAAACAACGAACAGTAGAATGAAGCGATTAGGCTTCACACCAAACAATGAACAAAGCTTTGAGCAACTAGTCTTTAAACCTAACATAGGTTTTGTAGTGTATTACCTTGAACCGAGTTGGAGTTTTGAATTGGCTATCCTCTGAATTGAACCGTTGTTTTGTTCAGGGTTGACCACAAACCGAACCAAGATTTTATACCTGACTAATCTCGAATCGACTGAGCTATTGTATAGGATTGAGCTCAAGAATCGATGTGAAGATTTTTCACTTGTTATTCTTCACGAACCCAAAAGGATAACTTTTCTTCAAGTGGTGAAGCTCATAAACCAAATAGAGACTAATACTAATTCCTAAAAAGAGCTTTTGACAAGTTTATCTCTAAACCTAAATAATTACTTCCTAAGGAAGAATAACTCACTCAAGAGGGAAAAACTCTTGATGAATTTACAACAATGTCACTTATAGAACAACTTCCTTACTAAACTCAAGAACGTTTGTCAAAGTGCTACGACTAAAAATATGTGATAGAAAGAGAAATAATTTAGAGAGAGATTGAAAGAGAGGAAGGTGGGATATCTTACATTTTCTGGATGTTTAGAAAGAAAGGGAAGATCTCTATTTATAAGATATATAATGAGTTATTTTAGGGCACAATACATGGGCAAAACTAATATACTAATCGATTAGCTAATCAATTACGAACATGCAATAATCGATTATTGCTGCCAAAACTAGAAGGTTTTGATAAAGAGTCGTTACCTTTCTTTAAGACACTATCATAATCGATTATAAACTTGTTTCGCCCTTATCTAATCGATTATAAACTTGTTTCGCCCTTATCTAATCGATTAGACATTTGTTCTAATAAATTAGACAATTCAAAAGCTAGCCTTAATCAATATGACACTTCCAATTCATCTGTCTAGCCTTCAAAAATATTTTAGGTGATTTTATTTGAAAAAATAGACTTTAAAAACAATTTTTAGTGTGTATGTGGTTTAACCATTATGCTTTTAAAAACATCGTTATGTTTTTACAAAACATCGATAACTCAACTAGATACGATCACACTAGCTTTTACACTTCCTCTCTTTTATACTATGAAACTTCAAGTCCTTTTGCTGGATATACCAATCATATGAGCACTTCACTTGAATCTTCTTATATATTAGATTTGAGGTATCTTCAATTCAGACGACATCATTAGAGGATACCGCCTGTGATCATAAAACCCTAATTCTTTAGCTTGATTTAGCAGAATAACTTGATCAACTATCTCATGCATCTTCGACCGCTTACTTTAGTACTTGATTGTCTTCATGCGTTATTGTCCTGTGGATCACTTTAATATCAGTTGCAACTTCAAGTGATGTTATTATCAAAACCATGATGTTACCTGAACTAAATACATCTTACTGATCTATAAACTTTGATTATTTTCTAATTATACCTGTAAGTACATAGTTTCACAAGATCCATGGCCAATAACAAAAAGAGGAAAAATATGTTATTATGAGTATATCTTTGTACTATTGCTTAAATAAACTATAGTTTTCAATGTTCTAAGCCATATCTATAATACTACACTCTTCTTATGTCCAACACCTACCATTTCGAGGGGCACATCGGTGATTAACTCATTTCATAAAAAATACTCCACGAGTCACTCAAACCCAAACGACTAAACAGAACAAGCCTTGAAGAACCTCTTGCCAAACTAGTAGCGCTAGCAGCCACTTCCTCCCATCTCATCAATCCTGATCCAGATCCAATCCCAAACCACAAACAATGGAAGAATACCCAGAAGAATTACGAACTCCACCCATAACACTAACTTCCATGGTAGGTTGCCCCGATCTCCACCCTTTAATTTCCACCTACCTATTATCACAACAACCTCCAATCAACACTTTAGCACTTCCTGATTTATCCAAAATCAACGTCTTCAGCCAGAAGAAAACCGATCCCGATTCCGTTATCGCCGCTTCACCGCCTCCTTTCATCGTTAACGGCATCTTGAAACGCGATTGGCTTCTCAAACACCGTACCAAAATCCCTTCCGTTGTTGCGGCGCTTTTTCCTTCTAATAATGTTTTCGGTGATCCCTCTCAGTGGCTTCAAGTTTGCTCCGATCTCGATTCCATCAAGTACTTTCTGTTCTCTTCATCATCATAACTTTCATTTTCCCCTATTTTAACGCGTTCTAGTAACAATTCTTCGCTTTTGCAGAAGTGTTATTCGTGCTAGGAATATCAAATTGGTTGTTGTACTTGTTCACACCAATGCAAACGGTTTGTTTTTTAATTGAATTTCACTATTTCTCAGTTTTTTGAAATTAGTTTATATTGTGTGGTTTTTATTGTTTGATTGTAGACGAGGTTAGTGAAGATAGAATGATTGCGTTAAGGAAACGAGCTGAATTAGAGGCGAAATATGTTGTTATATTGAACCCTAATGATGATTCAGAATTTCAATCTTCTCTAAACAGGTATGTACTTTTATTGGAAAGTTTTATGTTTTTTTTTTTTTTTTTTGAATTTGTGAATGGGAATGTTGTTGGTTTGGATTTAGGCTGGCGAATATATTTTCGGAATTATCGGGTGTGTATTATAGAGAAGAAGGAAGAAGGGTTAAACAGAGGATAGAGAAGAAGAATGTTAGCGCTGTGGAGTTGATTGTTCGTTACTGCTTCAAAGTATGAATCTTTCATTTTGTTGTATTTTTTAGTTATTGGGCTTGCACTGCTAACATGCTATGTAGCGCCGACATTTCAATGAATCTATGAATCTGTCGCATGTGGTTGCACACAGTCACTTCCATTTTTTTGAGATTATTAGGTGTCTATGTGTCAGTGTTTGTGCCTTGTCAATGTTTGTGTGAGTGCTCCATAATATGCCTATCAGCTGAGATTATGTTTAGTTTTATTCTCTTTCTGATTTTTCTTTGGTCTTGTTAGTTACGGAAAGTGTGGATTGTGTAATTTATTTTGGCAATCATGTTATTGGTGTGAACTATTCACCAGCTTTGCCAATGACTTATCTTTGCCAGGGAACTGATTGATCATCTTTAGTGTAGTCTCTGTCTCACCCACATTTTTTCCATCCACAAGGCCTGCACCCCGAGACCTTGCTTAAGGGATCCGAGTCTAGTTCTACTTGGATCAGTGTAATGTTGGGTGGTGGATTATGTACTTTACAGCCAATTTTAAGAGTAATAGTATAAAAAAAATGAAATTCTTAAGGCACATTGTTTTTGGATATGACGTTTACTGTTTTTATGTCTTATTTTCATATTTGATTACAAAACTCACATTGTTTTCTCGTTGTTCCCGTTTTCAATAATTTTAACCAATTAAAACAGGAACCATAATGGAAATGAGATGACACTTTTGTAGTCATAAGTGAAAACAATAATTGAAAAAGGAACCTTGAGAATGAGTATGGACTGAAAGTGTATTTATTGTGTTATATGTTGGCTGATGTGTTTTGCCTTTTGACTTTATTTTCCCATTTATTGTCAGTGAACTTTTTATTAAGTCTGCATTATTTATATTTTTAATTTAACAGAGTAAAGTTTGCATTATTTATCTAGATGCCATGAATTGCTAGGTTGCTGTATATGCAGAGTTTCGAAGTGACTGGAGTGAAGCATTGAAATTTTATGAGGAGGCCTATCATACACTGCGAGAGGTGCGTGTAGGTTTGAATAATTGTTGGGGTTTAGTTATATAATTTTGTTACACCACTAATGATATTTATCTGCCTAGAGCGGGAATGCTGTTACTGTTTTTATATGCTCGCACCATCTATTGGTTGTATTAGTTAATAAAAAAATTAATTGTCATTGTGCCATATGTATACATTAAGATCCTTGTGATTTGTGATGTGGATTTTTCCACATCCTCCATTATGATATATAGAAACTGATATTTTACATATTTTAACATTGACAGTTCTGCTTTAACATGCCATAATTGTCTTCGACTCTAAAAAATATCATACTGCCTCTTCTATGATTTCTAGTGATTAATAAACCTGCATGAACATTTCATTGTTTGTGTGGTTATTAGATGTCTCCAAAATAATGAGTTTTTGCCACATCCATTTTTCTGTGTTCTTACACTGCAGATTGTTGGGGTGACAACAAGGTTACCACCTATACAACGCTTAGTTGAGATAAAATCTGTTTCTGAACAATTGCATTTCAAGATATCAACCTTGTTGCTACATAGTGGGAAGGTTACAGAAGCTGTGACATGGTTCCGCCAGCACAAGAGTACATATAAAAGGCTTGTTGGTGCTCCAGAAGCAATACTTGTACACTGGGAGTGGATGAGTAGACAATATTTGGTATTTGGTGAATTGTTGGAAACAAGTTCAAAAGCCACTCAAAACTTTCCTCCTGTTCTTTTAGGCTCTTCATCCAAACCACTGTCAGAGTGGGAATATTATCCTGCTTATTACTACCAGGTTAGCTTCCCTCTTTAACTCTTTGCTTGTATTATACATTGCATGTTGAGAAATGCAAATGAGTAGACCATTTTTATTTACTCTGATAATGTAGCTCACGACCTTTTCCATTATATTCTGGAGCATTTTCTTTGGTAATAATAGTCCTATAGTAGAATCATTGCTTGATGATATATTCAAAATAATGATACTAATTGTAATATCGTTAGAAACTAAGCTAGATGAAGATTCAATTTCTGTTTTCATTCTATAACAGAATTCTGTTATTTGTAAGAAGTTAGTTATACAAAGAGTGTTGACACCTTGTTACTTATAGAGTAACAAGGTGACCTGCTATAGCAGGTGACCTATACTTCTAGGGCTGACATATGTCATTACATCTACTCTAATAAGCTGCATTCCATATTTACTCTAATAAATATTGACATATTTGAAATGGTTGGTTCTATAACTGTATTCAAGATGGAGGTCTTGTAACCTTTTATTTGAAAGCTATTAAAAATGTATAAAATTCATGAATAGTATGGAAATTTTTTAACTGAAGTTCTCTTCTCTTTGTAGATTATGATTTCTTATGAAGTTACAAGATAGTTGATTTATTTATAGATCACAGGGATATAACTAACTTCAGTTAGCTAGTTTCCTAAAATCAAGGGATTAGTTATGCATAGTAGGTATATTGTTGCAACAAGTGCACAATAGTTACAATAGTGTAGCTGTCTAGACTATTCTAGAGTTGTTTCCTTAATACTCCCCTGCCAGCTTAACTGGGGATTGGGGGATGAGGTAGAATCCCAAACCGTTAGCTTGGACCTAAACTCCTCAAATTTGATTGGAGACGAGGCCTTGATCATGATATCATTACTCTGAAGGTTGCCACAAATGTGCACAATCCTAAGTTGCTTGTGGAGTACCTTTTCCCTAAAAAAGAAAAGATCAAGCTCTATGTGCTTGGTACGAGCATGTAAGATAGGGTTGTGGGCCAAAGCAATAGTGCTCATATTATCACAATGGATAGTTTGGGAGGAATAGGTGACACCCAACTCAGTAAGTAGGCATTGGATCTTAAGAAGCTCAGAGGTTGCAAGAGCCTTACTCATGTACTCTGCTTCAGTACTTGAACAAGATGTCACAAGATTCATTGCTAGAGACCAGGTTTCATTGCTCATCAAGGCATCATATTACTGGGTCATGGCATCTAGCCAGGTAGGGTCAAACAATGCTTGCTTAGTGTTTTTGAGCTCAACATGAGCAATGAGTAGAGTGGGATGAAGTCTAGGGCAGATAATGCCATCTTTGGATCTAGTGTGCATATGGTGAGTGTTAATTGGGAGAGGGTTGATTCTGGTGATTGGTCGAGGGCTGGTGGAGAAATAATGGACGGGGATGGCACATTGGAGGTGCCAGATGAAGGTGCGACTTGTGTCAGAGGAGAGTTAGGAGTAGAAGGGAAAGAAGAGGTAGGGTTTATGGTATTGGTTGGGGATATGAGGGCTAAAGAATAGCAGAAATGGTTGCGAGCATTTAAGGAGATTGTTGATATTGGTTGGAGGATAAGGGTGAGATTTTGCATAGGTTAGGATAGGGAAATTGTTGTTCATTAAAGATAATACCTTTAGAGATGTAGACTCTACCATGAAGTGTAAGGCACCTATATTCTTTGTGAGAGGTGCAGTATCCCAAGAGTACATATTCCTGACATCTGAATTGGAGTTTATGTTTGTTGGAAGGTCTAAGAAGAGGGAAGCAAGAGCAACCAATGCCTTCTTTTATTTAAAATGGAAGGGAATATTGTGATAAAACCTGTGAAGCACGGGTAGTCCATTTTAGATAAAGTACCGGTACCAGGTACATATCGGGTACCAGTACTCGTACGGTACGCGTACGTTACGCACCGAAGCTGTACCAATTTTTTTTTTTTTTTTAAAGTCGGTCCACCAACCGGTACACATTTGGTACCACGTACCCAACTTTTTTTAATTTTTGTCGGATGGTATAATTTTGACTTTTTTTACGGAGCAAAATTATGTAAATTATTCTATTTATAAATAAAAAAGTTCTTTCACAATCGAGTTTTTTCATCTTTTGCCGAGAAAAAGTGGAGCACATATGGATTTATTCACTCAATGAAAAGGAATAGTCTCAATCCAAAGAGGGTTGAGGATTTAATTTTTGTTCATACAAATCTCCATCTTCTCTCGAGAAATAGTAAGGTTTTTAATGATGGAGCAATAAAAATGTGGGATATTAGTGGAGATGAATGAGATTTATTTGATGGAGTTGGTATTTTTGAAGTTGCCAATCTTTGTCTCGATGAACCTGAACTAGAATCCGCTCATTTTAAAGATATTTGAGAGGAAAATATTGATATTCAGCCATTATTTCATGATTTATTGATATTTTTTAAGTGTGATTTATTTATGTTATTGCATAGATATTAATTTTTTTTAAGCAAATTGTTTTTTTAATTTTAATGTTTTGTTGTTATTTAAACAATATAACTCTTGTTATTTTTATAATTATGTTTAAAAAAATTATACTAACGTACCGGTACCCTAGTTTTCCTAAAAGTGCCGTACTCCGTACCAGTACCAGTACCGGGTACTGGGTACGTACTCGTACCTATGCAACACAAGATAAAACCCTCCTAAAATAGTTGGAAGGAAAACGAAGTATCATATCTAATCCTCCAAATTCATGAACAATCACTTTTATAAGTGCCCCCTATTTCGGGATGTTGGAGGAAAAAATGGCTTAGCTACTATTATCCTTTTTAATATTTCTAAGTTTCTTTGTTAATATGCACTTTTAGTATTAGCTAGATTTATAATACAAAGATAAATTAATAAGAATACATTATAATTAGTCTTTTTTTCTTTAAAAAGTTCTTCATTTTCTTGCCTTTGTTAGTTTAAACATAAAAAAGAGAATGGAATTGTTGTTTCCCTTCTCACATTTATGTTCCTTTAATTTCTTCTTTTAATGTCCTCTCCCTATTCTACAATCTACACTTAGCTAGTAACATTGTCTTTTCCCCCCTCTTCATTGTTTTCTCTGTTTATATTGTTCACTGTTAAATTTACGTTTGGCGAGTCCATCCACACATTAATTAACCTTACTAGTTTCCATTGCGTCTTTTCATATGGGACTGTGATGTGAAGTTGTTTTTGTCATTAGTTCCCGTGCTTTAAATTTCTGTGGGTGATCTTAATTTATTCTCTGAAACAGTTAGCAGCTCACTACTTGAGTGAGAAGAGGTCAGCACTGGAGCTTGCAACCTCAATGTCAGAAATTCCCAATGAGGTTGACATTGGAGCTGATTCAGTTGTTCCTTCTGCATATGTGGGTCAGTTTGCTCGGTTACTTGAGGAAGGGGATAATGTTGATATGCTACCGTAAGTCGTAATTGAGTGGTACCAAAGTTCATATAGTCCTATGTATTACTCTCTCCGGTCACTATTATAAGCAAAATTGACTATTTTGATTCATTCAACAACATGATGTATCTGGTCAATATGGAGTCGATACATCTGTCTGTTGTTGAATGAACCAAATTTTTGTGTGTGCTTATAATAGTGACTAGAGGGAATATCTTTTAAGGATTAATTTTATATTCACTATCAATATAAAGAAGAGTTTTACACGGTTAGTCAATCATAATCATCCAATCATTAAAAAAGTTTGACTTTCATTATATCTAACTTAAAAGTAATCTAAACGATGATTTGTGATTGGCTGACGGTTTACACTTTACATTAGCGATGCATCAAAGTTATTCTCATCTTTTAAATAATAGTTTTCCATTTGGATTTGTAGTCTCACCGACGAGGGGTACACCCATTACGCTATTTCTGAAGGAAAAAGGTTCCGAGATTCACTTGAAATAATTGCTCTTTTAAAAAAAGCTTATGAATCTTACAGTGGTATTAAACTTCAGAGAATGAGTTCCTTTTGTGGGTTCCAGATGGCCAAAGAATATTTTGCAGAAGGTGAAATTGGCAAAGCAAAGCAGATGTTTGATAATATTGCCAGCCTATACAGAAAAGAGGGATGGGTAACTTTGTTGTGGGATGTCTTGGGTTACTTGCGAGAGTGCTCCCGGAAAAATGGTACAGCTAAAGATTTTGTGGAGTATTCCCTTGAAATGGCCGCACTCCCAATATCATCTGATACTGGTGTCCAGAGAGACACTGGTCCAGCTGGTCCTGCAAATATACTGCAAAGAGAAATTGTACACAAGGAAGTTTTTGAACTTGTTGGTGAGGCAGTGTTGACAAAAAATAAAGATTCTAGTAATCTGAAGATTTCTGCAGAAGAGTTAGTTCAGCTTGAGGTTGATCTTGTGAGTCCACTTAGGTTGGTGATGTTTGCATCTGTTGCTTTCCATGAACAGACAATCAAGCCTGGAACATCAACTTCTATAACAATTTCACTTCTTTCCCACTTACCCCTCACTGTTGAGGTCGACCGATTAGAAATTCAGTTCAACCAATCTTCTTGTAATTTCTTCGTAACAAATGCCCAAAAACATCACTATGTAGAAGGTAGTGATACTCAAAAGCAGAGAACAGAGACAGCACCGTCTATTTCGCTTGTATCTAATAAATGGCTAAGGTTGACCTATGACATCCAATCTGGTAAGTCTGACACCGTTGACAAACTACTTTCCTGATTAGCTGTCAGGGTTATCTACATCTTTAAATGTTTCTATAATCAATTAATATAGGCACGTACATTTCAAGCATTCTATTCATCTAGCACTACCTACCCCTATATTCTTTTGATATTTTCTGATGCCCCCGTGGCTATTAATTGTGGGTGGTGGTTATATTGCAAGTAACCATGTGATGATTGATCATTTATAAATAGTGCAATTCTGTTATATTTCTTTGAAAGTTTATATGGATTTATTCTGGTTTAAACATGCTTTTCTGCATATACCATTTTTTATTTCTAGTCCCTACAAAATGTTTTGTTTTTGTTTTTTAGTCCTTCAAAATATAGTACTTTCCGCTTTTGATCTTTGATATTGTTTTATTCCTCCAAAATTTGGTCATATTGAAATTGTTCCATGTCATATTCATTTTAGTCCTATTTTGAGGGACTAAAGTCAAATATTATACATATTACAAGAATCAATTCCAATATGAATCAATTTTACAGGACTAAAACAAACATCAAGGACCAAAAAGTAAAAAGTGATATATTTACAAGCATTAAAAACAAAAATATTTCTACAGGGACTAAAATCCAAACTCTTGATATTTGCAAGAACAATTTGCATATTTATGCCATTTATTTGTCAGACTTCTCTATCAGCAATATCTGTCTATTATTATCCTTGTTCAAAAGTATGATCTAACCTAACTTTGTGTCCACATTGAGACTTGCATATCAAATTTATGATCTAACCTAACTTTGTGTCCACATTGAGACTTGCATGTCTATTATTACTATTACAAGTATGCTTGTCACTTTATCCATATTACGTTGATTGTAATTTGGGTTACTATTCCTTTTTCAGATCAAAGTGGAAAACTTGAATGTCTGTCTGTTATTGCAAAAATTGGATCACACTTAGCAATTTGCTGCAGAGCTGAAAGTCCTGCTTCATTGGATAGCTTACCTCTCTGGACATTGGAGGATTATCCACAAGTTGTTCCAATAAAAGATGCAGTTCTTGTGTTCTCTGGCCAGAAGACTACCCAAGTGGAAGAACCAGATCCACAGGTAGATCTGTGTCTTGGTGCTTCAGGTCCTGCGCTAATTGGGGAGGTGTTCCTGGTACCTGTAACATTGGTCTCCAAAGGCCATGCTGTCTACTCTGGTGAATTGAAGATCAATCTTGTGGATGTGAAAGGGGGTGGTTTGTTTAGTCCAAGAGACTCCGAGCCATATTCAATGGAAAGCCATCATGTTCAGCTGCTTGGTATATCTGGACCAGAAGGAGAAGATGATTCTCAATTAGATTCAGATAAAATAAAGAAAATACAGCAATCATTTGGATTAATTTCTGTTCCCTTTATTAAAAATGGGGACTCCTGGTCCTGCAAATTAGAAATCAAGTGGCACCGACCTAAACCCATCATGCTTTATGTCTCTTTGGGCTATAAACCAAATGGCTATGAACCAAATAATGCACAGACTGTCCATGTCCACAAGAACTTGCAAATTGAAGGGAACAATGCTATTGTTATTAACCACCATTATTTGATGCCATTCAGACGAGACCCATTGTTACTCTCCAAGAACAAAGAAGCCTCAGAGTCTGATCAGCCAGAACCACTGCCCTCGAACCAAAACACTATTCTCGTCGTTAGTGCAAAGAACTGCACTGAAGTTCCACTAAGGTTGAAATCCATATCCATAGAGGAAGAGGATGGTGTTGAAAGGACGTGCTCTATACAACATGGAAATGAAGAGCTTTCAGACCCTGCTCTTCTTGTTCCCGGAGAAGAGTTCAAGAAAGTATTTTCAGTCAGTTCGAATATAAACATTTCAAAGCTCAGACTAGGAACTGCGTGTTTGAAATGGAGAAGAGACTTCGGGGTTGAAGAGAAATCTGCTTCTACCGCAATATTGTCTTCTTGGGTTGTGACTAAACAAAAGCTGCCGGATATGAATGTGGAGTTACCACCATTGATTGTGAGTTTGGAATGCCCTCCTTATGCAATCTTGGGAGATCCCTTCACATACTATATCAGAATTTTGAATCAGACACAGTTGCTTCAAGAAATCAAATACTCATTGGCAGATGCCCAAAGTTTTGTGCTATGTGGGTATCATAATGACACTGTATATGTTCTTCCAAAATCAGAACACATTGTCAGTTATAAACTTGTCCCACTTGCCTCAGGCATGCAACAGTTACCTAGATTTTCAATGACTTCTGTGAGATATTCAGCAGCCTATCAGCCTTCAAACTCTTCAAATACTGTTTTTGTTTTCCCTTCCAAACCTCATTTCAAGACTGCAGCCTCACCAATCTTTAGGGTGGAGGAGTCTGTAGCTAATGAATAAATCTTGTACATTGTCAGATTATTGTTCTTTTATTCTTGTCCCCAGTGTAATCACTTCACCGCAATCATGGCCGGGCTGGGAGTTACCCAGGGACAATATTTTACATGGAAAGGCTGAGTGCATGGTCTGCTTTTGATTCCTTGTTACAAGGTAATGCTGATTGAGCAGCATATATAGAATCTCACTATGTTTTGTATATTCATTACTATGTCACTCTACAAAGAGGAGGAGCCAGTTGCCGAAGATGATGACATGCTTCAAGAGAGTTGGACATTTGATATATGGAGGAGCCAGGATTGTGGGAAGAGCCTGGGTTGCTCAGTGGGATACCTGATCTACAGGATGTTGAGATATCAGATCTTATCGTTTTATGTTTTTTGTTAGCGGGAAAATGTAAGTTGGTTTAGCACAAACATATTAGGCAGCACGGGTAGATGTATGTTACACAGTTCCTTGTACTTTGATTTGGGGTGGAGTTCTTTATATTTTGGATTGAGAAGAATGGCGAGTGAGTCTCGGGGCTTTTGATGTACTTAGCATTAAATAGTTGGAACTTTTCTGAGAGTGGAGAATTATATATATATATATATTTTTGATTTATGGTTTTCAGTTGAATATGTTTTCTACGTTCTACTTATGCATAAAACTTTAATACGTATTGTAATAGGATCGAGAGGCATCTCACATATCAATCCTCACTGGGTAATTTAAGAGTTTGCGTGTAAAGAGAAATACTCTTTCGATTCTTATATTTGCATACCACACATTTAGAAATCCAAAATCGTCCTTCATCTCCAAAAGCATTCAAAATTATGCCAATTTTTTGAGTTTCACCCTAGTTTTAAAAAAATTATGATTCGGAGATACATTTTCATATAATACTTAGGTGTATTCGGAAATACTTTAAAATGTCTATTGTTCTAACATCATAATTTTTTTAGGCCAACTTATTTTAAAATAAAATCAAAGTAAAACAAAGTTATATTAAACTTAAAATGAAAGCAAAAAAATCATATATTAATACAAAAAACAAGACAATATATAACATTTATATCCAAACATAAACTAACTACATGGTATGTCTAACCCTTGCCTCCTCTTTCGTTTTTACTATACGATATTCCGTAACTCAGCAACCATATGTTCCACGATGGCCAATTGAGGAGTGCCACCTTCAAAGAGTTGTGCCTGTATGACACCTCTGCCCATCTCTAACACTCGATAGATCTTCGTCACGCTCAGGGTCTGCTCATCCTGAATCTCAATTATCTCCTGGTTAGCTGACCTAGGTGGTCAACCATTTGAAGTATAAGGAAATGAAGTCAAATTGACGTGTTTGGTAGTGACCCTCATATGGGCAAAAGCAAACGTCATATGGTACCATATGGTCAAGAAAGACTATGAATGACTCAACTGCACCATCCCTTGTACGGAACAAAAGCGACTGCACATGGTCAGTCCTCATCGTAGGCAGACACAACTTCCCTTCCGATGATGCGAGGGAATCAGGAGATGATCCAACCCTAGAAATGGTTCAGACACAATATTAATAACAAGTGTAACAAATGAATTATAAAAATATTAGTAACAAGAAATTACTCTAAGAAGTGTGCAACTCTCTATCATCTGCTTTGTCTTTCAAAGACATCCCTCACCGATCTTCGAGTACAGGTAGATCAAATAAACGACTCTCCAGTTGTATTCGTGAATCGTAGTAAGGTCGGTGAAGTACTTAAGGTAAACCACATCGATATAGGTTGCACTTTTGTCCACAAACATGGACGTTCCTACTAGGAACAAGAGGTAACACCTCAATGCGCTATGTCGATGGTACTCAACATGCATATCATCACCTATGACATCCAGGGCCCACTGCATATTTTTTTTTATAAAGATTTTTCAAAAATTAAACCTAACATGAGAGCCTCTTGTGTCATGTGTAACACTCGAAATTCGACTAATTAATTTAATTAAATTATTTAGAATTTTATTTGATTAATTGGTGTTTTAATTATTTGTTGTGTGAGTGTGGGAGTAAGTGTCCTTGGAATAAAGACATAGAGAGAGTAAGAGCTGGATGTGGATGTTTAGAATTAATTAGAATTTTAATTAATTATTTGAATAAATAGTAAAATGATGAGTTGAGCCATTAGTGAGAATTGGAGAAAATAGGCGGTGAAAAAAGAGATGCTAGTAATGAGTTGGGCAAAATTCATAATTAATCAAAGTGTTAGGGGATTATATATTCTAAAAGTAGGGAGAAAGTTAGATTTTTGGGAGAAATATATGACATACGTAGAAAAGAGGCAAAAAAGGAGTAAGAGAGGAAAAACCTAGGAACTGAAGAGGGAACTCATAGAAGCTGTCCAATTCACTATCGTTGCTAAAAAATCTAAAGTAAGGAGGGAGAAAGGACTATCAATTCAGATGTTTTGCATGATGGGGGTAGAGATGAGAGGTCCTTACTCTCTTTAGGAAAATTAGGATGTGATTGATTCTAATTTTTCTATGAAGTTTTGATGTTGTTGGTTGTTTTAATGACAATTTTCGTGAGCCTATATGTACGCTATTTTCAGTTTTGAGGTATTGATGTTTTCCACCATGTTTGAGAGTTTGGAAGGTTTCGGGAAAAACATGAATTTAAGAGATTGAATGAATTATATGAAGAAATGTTGTGATTTAACATGTATTAATGGTGTTATAACATGTGATATAATTTTCTGGGTGATTGGGGATGTTTGGGACTAATTTGGAAGAGTTTTGGGGTTGCTGTAGAGGAAAATCGCATTCTGTATTTTTGCAGGTCTGAACGAGTTCGCTTAGCGAGAATGACTTTATTAGTTCTGTGATTGGCAGCAATTTTAGTAAAGCTTGGTGTTATCACAAGATGTCCTATAGGATGTCTTGACATGTGATCTTAACATTCTGCAGGTGGTTCTTTGTGTTGTTGCAAGGTTTAGTTCATGATGTCAAGTATGATGTCCTGACATATGTTTACAGAACATTCAGTCAAAATGTTATGTTTTGTATGTTGTGTTTTTTCTGCAATCTTTCGTGTGCCTTTGTTAAGTGGTTGCTTGCGCAAATCAAGGCATGACATTATTTGAAGCAAGTATATTCTGTTTCCTTTTGAAGAATGGTTTGTTGCTATTTTTGTACGAAAAGATATGGAGAATAATTAGCTTTAATGATGGATTACTTTTGCCCAAGCCCATGAAGAATGGTTTCTATTTAAAGACGTGCTAACCCTACTTGCAAGTGGGAGAGAGAAGATTTTGAGAAAGCTGCGTTTTGTCTTTTGTTAGGGTTTGTATCGTATGTTAGTTGTTTTCTTGTGAGCCATTCATTCATCACTTTGATGTGTGATTGGACTGAGTTCTTTGAGTTGTAAGTTGTCCACTCTAAGCTTTTAAGCACGAGTGCATTGTTCTTGATTGAAGCTTTTAAGCAAGATCAAGTGTTGTCCTTGAAGTGTGTCTTCTACTTTTTGATCTTCTGTTTTTATCACTGCATGTGATTGAGGGGGAGTGAGAGGTGTCTCATATTTGAGAGTGTCTTAGATAGAAGTTACACGGGTAGAGATTAGGTGCGAAGATTGTAAACTAGATAGTGTTTTCTAAGAGTCTTCAAACTAATTATACTTAGTGGGTTTCCTTCCTGGCTTGGTAGCCCCCAGACGTAGGTGTGTTTGCACCGAACTGGGTTAACAATTGCTTGTGTCTCTTTACAATTGTTAACTGCTTTTTATCTTGTTCATCTATTGGTAATTGTTCAGATATTAGTGTTGTGACATCTCTTTCGACATCTCATATCTGATACCATAATTTCAATTGGTATTAGAGCAGACATCCTGCTCTGGTTCTGGGTGAGATCTAGGGACGATACTTTATGGTACTATGGACAAAGAGGGAGGATTTGTGAATAGACCACCTGTTCTGGATGGAAATAATTATGATTGTTGGAAACCTCGCATGGTGACCTTCTTGAAATCATTGGATAGTAAGGCTTGGAAAGCTGTCATAAAAGGATGGGAACACCCTGTCCCTGTTGGAATAGATGGAAAAGCTACATCTGACCTGAAGCCTGAGGAAGAATGGACTAAGGAGGAGGATGAATTGGATATTGGAAATTCTAAAGCCTTAAATTCCTTGTTCAATGGAATTGATAGAAATATATTCAGATTGGTGAACAATTGCGAAGTTGCCAAAGATGCTTGAGAGATACTCAAAACTACTCATGAAGGTACTTATAGGGTGAAGATGTCAAGACTTCATTTGCTAACTACCAAATTTGAAAACTTAAGGATGAAAGATGATGAAAGCATACATGATTTTCATATGAATATCGTTGAAATAGCCAATGCTTCAAGTGCCCTAGGTGAAAAGATGTCAGAAGAAAAGCTTGTAAGAAAGATTCTCAGGTCTCTTCCCAAGAGATTTGATATGAAAGTAACTGCCATAGAAGAAGCTCAAGACATCAGCAAGATGAGGGTGGATGAACTTATTGGATCTCTCTTAACCTTTGAAGTGGGGATAAGTGACAAGTATGATAAGAAAAAGAGCATAGCCTTTGTGTCCAATATTGAATATGGAGAGGATGAATGTGATGTGTATACTGATGAAAGCTTATCCAATGCTATAGTACTCCTTAGAAGACAGTTTAACAAGGTAATGAAGAGGATAGACATGAAGTCAAGACCAAGTGTCAAGAACAACTTATATGACATCAGCAGGTCTAATGATGTTGGTAGAAGAACAAGGTATGAAGAAAAGTCCACTCAAAGCAAAGGGATTTAGTGCCATGGATGTGAAGGATTTGGTCACATTAGAGCTGAATGCCCTACTTACCTCAAGAAACAAAAGAAGAGCCTAACTGTATCTTGGACGGATGAGGATTCTGAAAGTGAACTTGAAGAAGAATCTACTAAACATGTGATTGCTTTGACTGAGAGATATGTCTCTGATGAAGACTCTAGTGATGATGAATTAACCTTTGAACAA